TTTCTTAAGATAAAGCAAAAGGAAATTGTTTTTTGGTTTTAACTTGGACTCCTCACTAACAGTGCTAGAATAGTATGAGAAGCCAATATTATTAAAGGCAAAAGGTTCAACAGAAAAAGATTTGCTTGCAAACAGTTACATATACCAAAGTTGATGTTTTCCAAACAGCTGCACCTACCTGTTAATTTAAGGCAGTTCTGCTGAATTTCTCATGGAAATAATCTTGTGCATGAAATGGTATGACCAGTCTAGGATGGTGTGGAGCTGCAACCCAGTAATGATGCTGCAACCTGGGAAATCTTGAGGAAAGAGCTATTTTCCAGCAACTGGAGAATATTTTTGGTTTTTCAGCCAAAAACATTTGCCTTGTTTTCTTTTCCATTTTTTGAAGGGTACGAAATTGTAGGATTCTGTAAGATTATTTGTTCAAAGAATTGATTCAAATCTTCAGCAGAGTTATATTTCATGCAGCTGTGGGATTTTCTCTGAGCTTCGTCTGCCAGAGCGCTTCCCTGCCTCTTGTACGCCATTCAGAGTTACCAACTGTTCCAGAAGGAGGCTTCAAGAGGTGGCCGAGAGCCAGCTATTCTCCTTCCAGCCACAGCAGCAGATGTTGTGAATATCCGAGTCCCTCAGATTTGGGTCATTCTTTCAAGATATTGTTAAAATTCACTGCAGTTTTATGATTTAATCTTTGTAATGAGTTATTTAATGAGAAGAGTTTTTACGTTTTGATGGACTTAACAGTGGTGAACCTACTTATCTGTTGTTCCCAAAATAGGTCAGAGCCTGTGGCTTTTCTCCCATAGTATTTGTCTTAGATCAGCAATTCAGAGAGGAAAGCTGTAATGTTTAAGATAGACATTTTTTGTTGTGGAATAGATGGTACTTCTGGATATACTTCCTTGCTACGCCGTTATACCTTCCTCTTCCTTTCTTTCTCCTTGCCCAGCTGAGATCCATTCTGCTCAAATATATATGTTGGTGCTTGAGTTTGAAAGTTGGTATTACTGGTTGTCTCCTGAGTCCCAGGAATGATTTGAAGTCTTCTAGTCTTCTAACAGGGGCTGAGTAAAGAATCGCTGAGTCTGAGGGCCTTGCAAGTGAGCATGGTTTCTTCTAAGAGAGCATCCTCCTGCATGCTGCCAAGCTAGTAGCTTCGGGACATGCCTGCAGCGAGGCCTACAGATGGAAACAGGCTTTTTTCTCAAATGAGCAGTGGTATCTGACTCATCCCTGCTTTTGACAGGAGGCCTAGATTTTCTAAAAAAGGAAATCTTGATCTATTAGAACAAAAGAGAGTAAGATCTTTAAAGAAATGGAAGGGGGATCGCTGCAATGAATCTTCCTTGGAGATGGGTCAGGCTACCCTTTTGTGACGGTGAATCTCATTAGTGTATGGACAGCACATAGGCATTAATTTTGTGCACTGTCATTCTCATAAGTTCATATAATCTTAGCAATAAGATGAGCTTGTTCAAAATACCCTATCTGAACAAAAAGCTTTTCAATGCAATCTAATTTGTATTGAGAGATAAGACTCGTCTCTTTGGCTGTGATCTGAGACTGGGACAGCTCTTGAAATACTTCAAATGCGTTTTCTGTCTTTTCAAGCACTACATGAGAACTCAGTTAAAAGCCAGTGCAAAAAACTATCTATCTGATACAAAATGATGTTGTGCTGTTTATTCTGTTTTATGGCTCTTCAGTAATGCAACTGAACAAGAGGATTGATGTATGTGTAATTGCACTAAAACAACCTTGTAATGGAGCTTTTTAGGGGGAGAGGGTAGAGGCTGGGCACATGATACATTCTAAAAGCACACATAGATGATACAAGCTAAAAGTATAGTTGATAAACTGGTAAAGACAAATAATGAGGGAATACTGATAAAATGTGTGGCGATACAAATCACTGCTATGAGTATGTAACTTCACATTGTTACAAATGGAGAGATGAATTCAGATTTAAATGTATTTGCAATGGATTGAACTTCCTGAAAATGAAAAAGAGAAAACCATATTCAATGAGCTTTCTGTGCAAGTGACAATAGGAGTAGGGAGTTGTATTCAGGGAATAAAAAGGAAAAAAAATACTTTAACGAAAGGTTTTGAGAAAGGAAAGCAAAGAGGTGGTTGAAGAGTGACTTAATGGTTTTACCAAAAACAGCACATATTAAGAAGCATATAAAACAAAACCCTTGAAGACCTGCAGACACTTGCTTGGGAGACTTAAAAATAACAGTTCGTCTAATCTCTATGATGTATGTGTTATCTTTTGAAGGAATAAATCGGTGAAGCAAACACAAATTAAGCAAAGTTTAAAATAGGTAATAATAGCAAGTCTCTTATCTTTTATATTGTTACACTGCTGTTCTTCTTGGACAACCTATTTGTGATATGGCGTGCAAAATAAAAATGTCTGTGTCTTTTATTATAGTTGAGGTACGCTTTAGATGTCCGTCCCATCCAGGTGCGCACAAAATCAGCTCTTGGGCGGATAATGGAGCGTGTAAACCAAGGTGAACTTGGAGCACTCTCTGCTGGACGACTGTGAAACAACACTTTGAATATTAAAAAAGAAAAATTCTGAGGTAGAAAAGAGAATATGAAAGGGTAGCAGGAGAAATCTACAGCTTAAAGTAAAAAACTTACATAGCCTAGCTCTTCCTATATTAAACAGATGAAATAGCATATATTTATTGCATTGAAATGGATTTCTCTATTTTATTAAATCAATGTACAGTAAGTTTCAATGATAATTCTTTTCTTATGAGCATATATGGTACCTGAGAGAAGAAAAGAGCTAATGTCTTATCTTTTAAATTTGAAAAATTAATAAAAATATCTATACCAAAAAAAAGTTCATAAGTAAAGAATTTTTAAAACCATATATAGCATACTAGTTATATGTGGGTGTTGTATTTTTGTAGTACTGCCCAAAAGAAATTAACACTTACTGTAGGAACTGTAGCAACATGTGGAAAATATGCTACTCCAAGACAAAATAATTTTTAAAAAAGGCACTTGGCAAAATGTATTAACTTCCATGTGTCTGTTTAAAAAAAAACAACGTATTTTCCAGTAAAAGGGCAAATCTTGTAATAATGAAGTTCACATCTTATTCCTAAAATGAAGGAAAACATAGACTTCTAAAAAATGTTATTTCAGAAAATTTAACTAATAGAAATGGGAGAAATGGAGAGGCAGGGAATAGTTGTATTACCACTTTATTGCCAATGCTGATAGATCCACTTGTGTATGCAGCTCCCTAAATTCCAGTCATTTGGAACTGATGCTGAAGTGTGTGTGCGTCTGTGTGCGCGCGCTTGCACGCAGCTTTTATTTGCTTGTTTTTAGCCAAAAAAAGTCTACTGGAGATTGAGGAATCAGCTTTGAATAAACTATTGAGGAAAGTCATTGACTTTCACTTCATAGTCTTTCAAAATATGAAAGAGGAGTTGGAGACACTCATGATATTTAGGTTCATGGAAAATCCGTGCAGGATCAAGAAAAAGAGGGTTTGTGTACACTTCTGAAAATCCTGTATGCATGGAAAACTATAGCAAAACAATCACTGACCTTTATGAAACTTGGTTTCACTCCATTTCTTTGTATGGGAGGAGCATGTTCAATAGACTGAGATTTGTTTGGTGTTCTATAAACAATTTATCATGAAATTTTTCTTTTCATTTTCCTTGGGTCATCGTTTCAGTTAAGGGTACCAACTTCGTTAATGATATTTTAGAGCAGATAGTGTGGTGGGGTTGTCTTTTTTTTCTTTTTTTTTCAAGCAGCAATGATGAGTGTGTATACGTGTGTATATACACGTATTTCACACTTTACCAAGATGTTATATGTATACATATTTGGTGTTAACCGAACAGAGACCTCAAGGCGCTTGCAGAGTTGTCAATACTGATTCTGAAATGTAAGCATGATATTAAGTCTGTGGAATCACCAACTACTGCTTATAATTTAAACCAGAAGCGTAAATTTGGTAGGTCATGTGTGGAGGAAACTTCTCTGGCATTCCTTTTTATACCCTAAAACTACCAGGGATGTGATTTTGTCTTTTACTCTTGACCACCATGAGTATTATAGCAAAGTGAAACTTCAGCAGCTAGAATGCTTGATTCGAGTGTCAAAAGTATTAAACTCATGATAATGTTTTTCCTGGAAAAGCACACTGTTTTCTATGATAGCTTGGAGAACTTCTGAAGATGCTTCAGATGGACAGACCTCATTAAAAAGCAGCTATCTGACAGTCTCTACTGATCAGCAAGTTAAATGAGCAGTGTTCAGTTAAGTGTTTTATGACCATCCGCAGAATATACTAAATACTCTTAAACATCCTTTCTGGATGCCAGAAAGAAATCCAGTGAGTCTGTAAAAAGATTTTTCTTAGCGTAACTAAAGGTGAATTTGCAAAACAAAGCATACCTGAACCTGAGTTTACCTTGAACTCACTATGGCCATATTTCTGTTGATTGACTTCACTAGGTGCTGAATTAGGCCCTTTGTAAAAAGGTAGAGCTGACCTTATTGCACCAGTGTTCTATTAAAATTCATGTGAACAAGTAAGATAACTAAGATCTTGAAATATTTCCAAATATTAAAAGCATAACGATTACAATGTAAGTGAACATTTTCAATGCTTTGTATTTAGAAGACAGCCAAACATATGAGTGTTTGAAATCTGTAGAGTATTCACTGGTCTTTCAGAGCCCATGGACTGCTGCTATCCTCTTCAATTTTATCTTTGTAACTGTGCAGGGATTCGTATTGCAGTGTTGGAAGATCTTAACTCATTCTCTGCTGGGATGGAGTTATTGCAGTGTACAGGACAGTTCTCATATAACTTAATAAAAACTTTTCTCCAAATCATTGCATAATTGTTAATTTTGTCCAATATTAAATAATTTGTTAATACCAGCTTACCTGTGCTTTATTTTTCTGCATAATGTTCTTAAAAGTAATAGCTTTTTTTTTTTTTGCAGGGCATGGCTTTTACCATGGAGGAGAGGCAACAATTAAATATCCATGGATTATTACCACCTTGCGTTCTCAGTCAGGATGTCCAGGTTTTCAATATTCTTCAGAATTTTGAAAGGCTGACATCTGACCTAGACAGGTAAAGTACTGCTATGAAAATTTATCCTACTTATCAAATCATGAGTCGCTTTTTTCCCCCTGTTTGGTGGTAGTTCACATGAGATTTTCATTTTTTATCAAGCTGTGGTAGTTGAAGATTGGGAAACATTAAGCTAAATATATATTATACATCTCAGTTCTTAGCTTTTCTAGAATGCTTTCTTCAGAAATTCAACTCTTAATTTTAAATTGTAATATTCCAATGCTGTTCACATAAATTTTGTTTTCAAAAACTAAATGGTAGAAGGCTCAACAGAAGCACATGAGCTGATGTGAAAACAACAGGTCAGTAATGTCTACATATAGATATAGATACATATAAATTTTAAGAAATGTATAAAATATATAAATATTATGAAATTTTAATGTAATTTGGATTTTAAGGAAAAATATTTAAGGGAGCTTTTAATTTTTAAAGATACTCATATGTGTTTTGCTTACCTGTATCCTGGTTCTATTTTTAAGTGCTATATAAGCCACAGAATGAAAAAATGTTCTTTTAGGTTTGTTCCCATTCTCTTGTTTTTCTCTGTTGTGTGCTGTCGTGTTATTTATATATTCCTGTATTATAAACAAGCTTTTAGATAGCTATCTGATGGTTCCAAGCTTTTTTTTATTTAAGTTTCTGTAATGTTTGTTTTTTGTGGAGCAAGAATATTGCGAGCATAGCCTTCAGTGTAAGTGGAGAGCTCGTTTACTGTCGTATCTTTTGTAGATGAACAGTCCTCCTCTTAGAGATCAATATCAGTTATCACAGAGGAGTGATAAGGCTAGAATGTTGTAGTCTGACTTCCTGCATGTTGCAAGGCATCAACTTTCAGCAAGACACCTGCTTTGACAACTTACCTTATCCTTGTAGAAAACTTTCCCTATCCGTCTGTCCCCATCCCCTCCTTAACTGTCTTGAAGCAGTCCGTTCATGATGGCAGATCATCGTTTCACAGGACAACACATTTAAGACTTTAAGACTGTTTAAATTGTTTGTTTCTGCTTGAATTGCTGTATTTTCTATTCACCTGTAAGTTCAAAGCAAAAAGAAAAAAAGCCTTTTATACTGTTGTCCTATTTCTTTCTTTTGCATCTTAGCTAGCAAAGAGCTGTTGGCACCTAGCTCAGGTCACAGGAGAAAAGCACTTGTGCTTCTCAAAGCAACAGGTACTGAAAGTTACAGATGTAAGTGTGTGGAATTTAAGAGGAGAGTAACAGTATTCTCAAATGTTAATTCTTTACTTTTCAGCCAAAAATTTGGGGTATTTAAATAGCTCTTTGCCAAAATGGAAAATTTCTTCAGGAAAGGAAAAATCCTATCAGTGTTAAATGACAGAAGTTTGAATGCTGTGCCATTTAAATCATAGGAAAATGAGGTATACTGAACTGTTGACTGAAGTGGGAGTCATTAAATAAAAATAACTGACTCTCAGTATTGCTTGAATCTTTTGCAGAAAACTTGCTTTATGTTAATAGGTAGAAAAGAAGGACCTATCCATCTTGGAGGTAAGGGAGAGGAAGAAGCACTTTTTTAAAAAGCACATTTAATCCACATACCATATATGTAAATAATATACAAATATAAATAAATATAAATATATTTACAAATAAATATAAATAAAAAGCTTGCTCAGAAGCCATTTGTCTCAGGAAAAAATGTTTTTCCATGTCTGTCTCTTACTCTGTTAAGTTTAGTGTCTGTATGTAATGAATTAAACAAAAATTCAATTTCATTATTTCCCACCTATGAGTCTTGTTTTGCAGTTTCTATTTTCCAAAGAATTAGGTAAGATTTTTTCCCTGCTCCTGTCATCAGCCATTATTAAAACAAAAGGACAAGCCTTACAAGATTACATCCCATGTGGATGGAAGATTAGGTTGTAGCTTCCAAATAAGCTGTGTTTTTAGCATAAAGGGTAAATTGTACTATGTAGTTTTGAAGTACAAACTTGTTGTCCATAGCATTTTAATAAAATATTTCACCTGAGAAAACTAGTCGGTCTATAGTTCATAGAAATAACTTACAAATGTCTTAAAAGGTAATTTTCTCTCACTAACCTGATCACTAATCAAAATATCTTAAAAAAGAATTTTTCAGATCACTGAGGTGAAAAGTAGCTGTTGTTGAGATCAAGGCAGCAGGATTGTAAAAACTTAAGGAATGGGACTAGAGGTATGTGCTTTGGGACTCTATGAAAGCAGGAATTTATATCGCTGGGAGAGCTCTGACTTAACGGACCAGAATTGCCCACTTCTGAAAATTTGTTGCCATTAAAAATCTTGAAATAACAAATTTAACATTTGGATATCATCTCAGCACTTCCTACTGAAAGATGGTTCTAAAGTAGATGTTTATGTTAAACATTTTTATATGTAAACAGTGATAGTGAGGTGAATTGAATACTGGCACAACTGCTGGGCTCAAAGGGTTGATGATCAGCAGCATGCATTTCAGTTGGAGGTCAGTAACCGTGGCTCTACCCGAAGGATCAATACTGGGGCTAATACTGTTTAGTGTCTTCATTAATGACTTGGATGGTGGCACAAAGTATACCTTCAGCAAGTTCACAGATGATTTAAAACTGGGAGGAGGGGCTAATACCCCAAAGTGCTGTGCTGCCAATCAGAGGAACTTTGGGTGGCCAGAGAAGTTGGCAGGGAGGAACCTCATGAAGTTCAGCCAAGTCCTGCCCCTGAAGAGCAATAACCCCATGTGCCAGCACATGCTAGGCACTGACTAGCTGGAGAGCAGCTTTGCAGAAGAGGCCCTGAACGTGGGCCAGCAGTGCATCTTTGTGGCGAAACAACAGCATCCTGGGCTGCATGAGGGACAGCATTGCCAGCAGGAGGAGGGAGGTTCCTCCTTCCCCTCTACTCAGCCCTGGTGAGGCCACACCTCGATGCTGCGTCTAGGTCTGGGCTCCCCAGTGCAAGAGAGACATGGATCTGCTGGAGTGAGTCCAGCAAAGGTCCACGAGGATGATTAAGGGACTGGAGCATCTATTGTATGAGGAAAGGTTGAGAGAGCTGGGACTGTTCAGCCTGGAGAAGAGAAGACTGAGAGGGGGATCTGATCAATGCATATGAATACTCGATGAGAGGTTAAAGAAGATGGGGCCAGACTCTTCTCAGTGGTGCCCAGTGACGGGACAAGAGGCACTGGGCATAAACTGAAACACAGGCAATTCTATTTAAACATAAGAAAATACTTTTTTACTGTGAGGGTGGCAGAGCACTGGACCACGTTGCCCAGAGAGGTTGCGGAGTTTCCATCCCTGGAGAAATTCAAAACCTGACTGAACACCTTGCTGGGCAGCCTGCTGTAGTTGCCTTTCCTTTGAGCAGGGGCTTGGACTAGATGATCTCCAGAGGTGCCTTCCAATTTCAGCTATTCTATGATTTTATAACACGTGCCTCTTGCAGTTGATAAGAATGCAAGAGTAATCTTGGATCAATGTAAATTTGTGTAAAGTTAAACAAATTGGTCCTTAAGCATATCAAATTATATAAATCTGCAAGTCCCACAACAATTAAATTGTTCCATTGAGAAATCATATTTGTATTCTATGTGAATGCCCAGCAGGCCTAAGTTGACTGCTCATGTCATCATGCTATGCTTTGCCTAAAAAAAAAATTTTCCTCTTATATTAGTGGGGCATTATATTGCTGTTTTCCCCAGCTTTTATTACAATAAATTTGTTTGTTATATGGATAGGTGTGCATTTGAGACCAACGATTCAAAAACTTGGTAGCATTTGCCTGCAGAAGAGTCTTCCCTCAAAGATTTTCAGCTGTGACATCCTGAGCCAATTTTCAGAGATAAAAATGCTTTTGTGAATTGAATGTGCAAATGCTTATGCGTGCAAAATGTGATTTGCAGCTGTGTTTATAAGTCAAGTGTCTGAAAATGTTATTGGAGTATGTCAGTAGATATCCTGATCTAAGAACATATGCATTATATGTGTGTGAGCTCAGAATTTTTTTTTTTGAATTAAAAAATATTGTCCTTCAAGGCAGTATTTGAACTCTGGCCTTCTGTACTCTTATCAAAACATTTTAGAGGGAATAGTGACTCTGAGCCTACCTCAGTTACTCCTTGAGTCCTCTCACTGATAGAGAATGTCAGAAGACATTCGCTATTTTAATTGGAACTTGAAAGAAAACCTCATTGTGTGCTGTACAGGAACGCGCTCAAGGACGATCTTATATAAGAGCATGCCTTCTGGTGTATATAAATACACTAATTCTAGAAATAAAACATTTCTTACAGCATGCCTCTGGCATAGCCTTCCCTCCCATAGGGGCAATAACTGGAAAGAAATAAAGGGAAGCTGTAATTTTCTTCTTGGTGCTCTGATTTGATAGTGGATGTTTGTCTGTGTGTTTGGCAGGTGTGGATGGAAGACGACAAAACCAAATGGAAACTTGAGTCAGGTGCCATTTCCATGAGTTGTTTTCCTCCATAATTTTATGTTCAAGTACTTTGCAAAAGATTAAGTACAGGCATTTGGATATTGCAGAGGTGGAAGCTATTGAAGCACCTTAGATGGAAGGGTAGAAGGGCTGTGTCTGCTATATAAGAGAGCATCTTAACTGACAGGATTGTTGCTCTGATTGTGATTGGAAAGAGGGTGTGTGCAAATTCATAAGACAAAGCTGATTGATAGTAACGTGGCATTCCATGTTTTGGCATGGCAGAAACTCCTTCGCTTACTTGCAGTGTGAAATTGCTGTGCTCTAAAATGCCAAGAGTGCATATACAAAATGAATATACAAATATGCATATACTTAATATGTAAATATATACAATATATACTTATACAAATGTGATACGGCAGCAAATATATTGCCTGGTATGCTTGGCAAAAAGAAGGAAGCCGATAACGGAAAATAATTCTACTCTTCTAACTTAATTTGAAAAGTCTGCAATGAGTTCTGCAAGTAATTTGATCTTCTTTTCCTCTTATGTTCCTAATCATCGTTATTTTTCCTCTGTATTGACACTGAAATGTTTGTGTCTGACATAGACTTACCTCTTTCTTGTGCTTTTTATTCCTCCGAAGAGTCAAGTTGGTAAAATGTTTTACAGGATATGTGAACATTAAGAGAGGTGATTAGGATCAGATCACTTTTCCTGAGAATGTTGTGTTGTTTTCTTTTTTAAGTTCCCTGTGTTAAGTAGCACACTTATATATAGATGCTGCTGATTAAAACTAACAGAGGTAAAGGTCTTATACAAGTGAAAAATAGTGTGTCCTCCCCGTTTCCTTTATTTGCTTTTGTGACAATTTTTTTTTTTTTAATCATTCTGTTTTGCCTTGTGAAATGCATGTCAGTGGTAGTGGGCTGACCAGTCACCCTAAGAAATTATCAGTAGATTTCTGGTAGCCACATCAATTTTCTTTGGGATTTTAGATGATATTTGGTTTATATGCTTTAATTGCTACTGTAATCAATTCCCTTTATAATAGTAGTCTAGCGGAAAAGTAACATACTGAAGTTTGAATGCTTGGCAGTCTCCACTATTTCACTTGCCAGTTCTCTGTTTTCCCCTTCTGAAACTTTTCCCTGAAATCTTCGTTCAAGCCTCCCTGTCTGAGGACAGAGAATAATCTTCTCTCTTTTTATAGCACAAATGATTATTCTTAGTGTTTTATTGCTTGTTTTCACTATGTTTTCGTTTAAATGGGAGCTTTAGTAAAAGATTCCGTGAAATACTGCATTTTAAATATATCTTTTTAAAAACAGAATTCTGAAAACTACTTCATGTATTTAGTTCTGTAGATCACTTGGATGTTGCTAAAGGATGCATAGTTGTTGTCTGGTGCACTATAACTAACTCCGTGTTGGGGAAGAAGCATTTTTGGATTTCCTCTTCAGAAAATGTTTAAGGTGATTCTCCTAGCCAAGCTTTGAATGAGATACTATGCCAAAAAAAGAAAGATATTTTATATCTTTCACTGAAAACCTTCTGATCAAAATTAGATTTCTCAAGAAATATTTTTCACCTTGTAGTAACATTTCCTGTGCAGATTTGCATATGGCCAAGTGCATAATATTTGAAAACATGATTATAAGTATTATGCTGTTATTATCTTTGCAATTGCTTTAACATATCTTGAGTATAGATGTGTCATTGTAAATGTAAGTAAGAAAACAAAAGCCTAACTTTGTGCTACAAGATAGTAAAAACGAAACAGAGGGTTTTAGCAAGTAGTTTTTGGAGTTAGAACCTTGAAAAAGCCTTTTGTTAAACTTTCAATTCCTTCTGTAAAAGATTGCTTTACAGTGTTTAAAAGCCAGAATTACTCTGAGTAGGAAGACAGGATGATGAAAAAGTATTTAAAAGTTTTTAATAGCAGCATCTTATTTTAAATTAAAAGTGCTAAAAATTAAAAAGATTTTAGCAACTGATTGGAAGCATAGTCAGTCATCTGGCTTGCATAAACGCCTGCAGTCTCTAAGACAGAATATGCATGATATTCTCTACCAGTCACTTTCAAAATCCTCTGCAAACAGAGTGTATGTCTTCAAATATGTTCGCAATTATATGGGAATGAGCTTGTATTTTAAGGTAAATGTTGGGATAATTTTGTCAGTCGGAAGGTTTCAATAAGGAAAATGCTGCAAGCACAAAAGAACGTTGGAAGACATGCTATACTGTGATAAAATGTTCAGGAAGTTAAAGGCTAGTAGGGAAATGCAATAATATGAAAGAAAAATGTAAAATATATATTTATAATTGAGAACTGAAAGTACAGGATATAATTTAACCTTGGAGAACATAGAGAAGTTATGTATGTGATGGGAGGTGATTCAGAATGTGTCATGATGATGCTGTTTAGAGTGCTTGTTCAATCACAGTTTCAAAATCCTTCTCTGCTTAGGGTCTAAGTTACCCTTAGTAACCCAAGGGGAGAGACGCTGCTCTGCCTCTCGTCTTCTGATTCCCCGATACAGTCACCAGTTGCCAAACTTGCTGTGCTAGCCTTTCTTACAGTGCTTGTTAAAGGTTTATATAGCTGTTTTGCAGAGAATAGACAAGTCATTAGGTTATGCAAAGCTAAGCTTTAACAAAACTAGTGTAGATTTGCTAAACTTTTCTTTGTTAGATAGTTACCTTATTATATTTTTGTCTTGCTAAAATATGAATTAGAATTGTAAACTATTAATTAGCATTTTTACCTGAGGGCTAGTTTAACAGATAATTTAAAAACATCTTGGCCTTTGGTTCTAACAGTGAAACCTTAAGTGTGGCATTAAAGAAACTTTCTGACTGCCACTACTTTCATCTTCTTTCAAAGGAAAGGTGAGGGAAATTGTGCAAAAAATTAGTTATTTCAACAGTATTGAAAAGCTATGTAGTGGCATTAGTGCTTCTCCTGTGACTCTTTCTCACTTCCACTTTGTGTGTGAGGGGAAAGATGTATTAGTATTATTGCATATGATGCATCAGCGTGCTGAAGGAAAATTCACGTGAATAAGATTTAAACATACAAACCTCCTGGTTTGGGGGATGAATGTGTCCTGTAAATTTCCCGAACGCTTGTGTAATAAAATGATGAACATTTAAAACTTTTTGAATATATGTAATAGGCAATCCATTGAAAACTGTAAGACTTACCTTACTAAAATCAGTGAGCAAGAACTTTTTCCACTCTCATTTTTCTGATTTTTTTTTGCATTATTTTTATTTTTAAAGAAACAAAACTTCTTCAAGTCTTATCCAGTATTGTTTTCTGTTTAGAGATAAACTATTGCAGATTCCATTAAAAGCACAGATGTCAGGGTCAAAAGGCATACATGTGCACCTTGTATTTGAAATCTTAGTCCTGAAATAGTGTTCATCTGGGTTTGGGAGAAATTTCTGTTGAGGCAAGAGTAGAAAAAGCTAACATTTCTAGTTTGGATTTTTTTGGGCAACAGAGTACAGTTGTTTAATTTTTATTTAATAACTATACCATTTCAAATGGAACAATTGATATGTATGGCTCAGGTTCTGCCAGACCAAATGTGACTCTGTTGCAGTATAGTGTTTTGTACCTGCGAGAGATTAGCTTTCTGAGTGTGTAGAATGTGTCAGCTTTGTGATGGTTTCAACTTCTGTCTGTCTCGACCAATTTGTTATCCTTTATGTCTGAAACATTTGTGCTGTTAAGGCATGGAGGAATTTGAATACTCTAGACAAGAAAGAGACTGTTCTTGAAGAAACATAGCTTTAATTAGTTATCTAAACATCTTCTTATTTTCAAATTGACTTTATATGTTCATTTGATGCTAGTCTAATTATATTTAATTCTTTACAGATATATTCTACTAATGAGTCTTCAGGATCGAAATGAAAAGCTTTTCTATAAAGTGCTGACTTCTGACATTGAAAGGTTCATGCCTATTGTATATACTCCCACTGTGGGACTGGCTTGCCAGCAATATGGTTTAGCGTTTCGGAGGCCAAGGTATGTAAGTAAAAGTAATTGTATCTTTTTTCCTCTTGGCAGATTTCTGCAGGGGGTTTTCTAACATAGTTGAATGTAAGCCAAAACTGGAATAATTGAGATAATTGAAACTACACTTTCAGCCTACGTTAAATAGTAATTTGTGTTGCATTAAGAAGGTAAATGGTTGTTTTAGTTATATTAAGACATGGATACATTTTTAATCTCATTAACTGAATTTGACTTTCTTGGAATCCTAGCTACATGTTTCAGGACCACAGAAGGATGGATCTGTAATGTAAATTTATCTTAGCAACGTGAAGAGTATTGACTTTTACCTGCATAATTTTTATTTTAGAGGTATTTTTATATATGTATTTATATGCATGCCCATACACACACACACACACAGAGAGACACACACACGCACATAGCACATACATGAACATAATATTTTGTGACTATTGTATAGCAAAATCATATAACAATTGCAACATTAAGCTAAGGATGTTACATATATATATGTACATACAGGCATCTTGAAAATAATCATTGGAGCACTTGTCTCACTGCTTAATAATCTGTTATTTCATAGGTTACTGGAGTGCTTTTAGTATCTGTATTTATAGAGTGATGAGGAAGTAGTATGAAGGATTACGTGTAACTTCTGCTCCTTTTCAACATCAACCCACAGAATTTGAGATTTACAGTGGCTGCTGTTTGAGAGCCTTGTGTATACCAGTGACAACACTCAGGCTCTGGGATTGGGGATTCGCAATCTGCAGAGCGAAGGGAATATTTTTGCTTCAGTCAGAAACAGTTTTTGAGGTTTGGCGATGGCGAGGGATGCCGTGTTTCCACTCCAAAAGGAAAGCAGAACAATACTTTGGAGTATACTGTACTGTTTCCTGCCAAAGGAGGAGATAAATGAGCTGTATGTGCATAGCTCTGTTAACACAAATAGGTTTTTTACATTCAAGGCATTGATCAAAATAAGAAGATTGCAAGGTTGAAAGGAACAAATGACGACTCATGATTTCTTCAGCGGGAGGCATCTAGGGGAGAAGACTTATGGCCTCAAGGCTTTGTTGTTGTTAATGTAAAAATCATTTTGGCCTTGTGATCAGGATGAGTCAGGACCTTCTGGCCTGTTACAGAAAACAAGAATTCCCACTCCAGTATTAAAAAGTTCAAAAAGACCTCAAGAACGCATACTTAAACCCATTTAACAATCTGTGGCTTTTAGGTGCCTCTCCTAGCAAGAGAAGTGATTTCCTTTTTTCCCCATCAGTATTATCACCATGGTGATTTTATGGGCCTGCAGGGAAGTGCGAGATGTGTCTGTAAATTAAGCCTTTGATTCCTTTCTGCAGTTAAGCTGATCTCATTGCCCTTTGTTTTAGTATCCATTGCTATATAGGTTATTGCATGAGAAGCACCACTGCCCATGTTGGATCATGGAGACAAACATTGTATTTTTCAATTTCTGCCCAGACCTGTTGATAGTTTATGCCCGGGGCAGGTAGGGGAAGAGGCAACAATTCAGCTGAGTATCAGTGTGAAAACTGGTGAGACCTAGGTTGTAAGAGCGGTGGAAACAACCATCAGCCCCTTTAGAGATTTCCAAAGTCTTGAATTCCATTCTTCAATCTGATAATAAGCACATTTAAGGCACAGAAAAAGAACTGATTTTGGGGGGAGCAGGAGGGGAATATATTTCAACTTTTTTGCTGTTTTGTTTTCCTTTTGGTAGATTTTTCGGCTGCAGATTACTTAGAAAGATCGCCTGAATGTTACTCCTGTTGATATTAATACTAAAATCCTACTTCAGATCACTCTATCACTAATAAATTTATGGTTCTATATAGTTTAGTTGAAGCAAATTATACTAAAGACATATATACTGGGACATATATATATATACTGGGATAAAAATATACTGGGATAAAAGCATTTTGAGTTCTCTGCTGTGCAGCTAGGCTACTCTGTAGCCTATCTTGCAATGAGAATTGACTATGATCGTAAAGCTTTGTGGATTTGCCTGCGTAGCTTATTTATGTCACAACAAATTTATTTCTTATTTTCCCATTAATTTCAAATACGACATAAAAAAAACTTTCAAAGTCACTTTCAAAGCCCCTGCACAGTAGGAATAATACATACATTGTGTAGTCTTTGGAATAGTAAGTAGAATCTTCGCAACTCAGCAAATGACTGCAGTATAAACCTATCGGTTTATATTACATACAATGTTATTTGTAATGTTTTACTAAATTTCTGCGTTCCTCTAGATTTTCTTCTGTTTTACTTAAAAAAGCGTATTATGCTGGCACATGGATAATGAACTTCCATTCTGATGGTATATTTAGTTATTCTAAAGACTGGTAGTGATAATATGGGGAAAGAGAAAGGTACAAGAGCTCTATGACAGTCCTGATATTTGCATGCTGTTAAAAGTGTGACTATATTTACCAATATTAGAATGCAGTCTGATTTTTTTTCCTCCAAAAAAGTGTTCATTTCTATAGGGAAAATAAGAAAATTCAAGGCAAATTGTCTCACTGATCTTTTAACTGAAAAAATAGGTAACTTTATAGGACATTCTGTTATTTGGTATTTGACACAATTTTTTTTTTTCATTTGAGGTGCTAATGACTGAATGATGTTTTAAACAATATTAAACAGTGTTTTAACTGATGTGTCTCTGAGATTCAGTTACTGTTTTCTCAGATTACTGAAATCAGCTTCACCTATATTCAGCTCTCTGTTGCATCCCCGGCTATATGTGTGCTTTACATACATGACTGACTTGGGATATGTGTGAGATATTTATAAATAAGTCTGGTTTAGTTCTAGTCCTCTTATATAAGTAAAGATGTCTGAAAATCATCTACAATTTTCTTCTGCCTAATAAGGATCTCATAAAAATATTTTTTTCTTAAACCAAAAAATCATCTGCCAAGTTGGATGTTTATTACTCTCCTGAAAATTCTGTACTATTACTTGCAAGGTGTCTCACTACTTGCTGTCTCTTATCTTCCCAGACCACTTTGATGACTGCAGTGTTCATTAGAGGTCTCAAAAAAAAAAAAAAAAGGATCGTGAAGAGTATTACCTTTGATAGATTCATTACTACTTTAAAAATACCTATACTTTGTGAACTTCCACTGTGTTCTGTGAGCAACAAAGATCTGGCTTTTCTTAGAAAAATCTTTTGGAAATTATTCCAAAACCAACTATGTCAAGTCATCAACTTCAACTGGTTTGAAATTATATTCAAGAGTGTGACTAATTTAGTATTAGGCATTATGTACTGGTGTCTTTCATAAACAGCACCCTCTGTGGGCTGAACTAGTCCTGCTTTGCAGAAACCAAATCTCAGTTTGAGAACCAGAGCAAGTATATTCGACTTTTTTTGCCTATAGAGTGCTGAGTTTATGCAAAGCTGTAAAAATAATACAAAAAGATATCCTCCATATTCTAGAATATCTGTATGGCAGGGCCTTTTACAGGTAAAGTGGCCATACATAGCATGAGAAGCTATTTTAAGAGAGTAGAAGTAGAGTCATAATTTAGGTTGGAAGAGACCTCCAGGCATCATCTGGACATCATCTGCTCAAAACAGTCTAATCAGAGGAGGTTGCTTGTGGCTGTGTCCGGTTGAGTCTTGAACATCTTCAAGGATAGAGAGTTCACAGCCTCTCGGGGCAACCTGTTCCAGTATTTAACCACCCGCACGGGGAAAAAAAAAAAAAAACTTTATGTCTAATTGGAATTTCCCATGGCCTAACCTGCATCCACTGCTTCTCATCTTATCACTGTGCAGCTCCCAGAAGAGTCTAGTTCCATCCTCTCCTTATCCTCCGATCAGATGCTTGTAGCCAGCAGTCGGGTCCCCTGAGCCTTCTCGAGGCTAAGGAAAGGCAGCTCTCAGCCCCTCCTCATGCACCAGCCCCGAGCAGTGTGGTGGCCCTCTGCAGGGCTCACTCCCATAGAGCCACATCCTTCTCACTGGGGAGAGCCCAAAGCTGGCAGCACTGCTCCAGACACGGTCTTACCGGTGTTGAACAGGGGGGAAAGATTGCTTCCCTGGACCTGCTGGCTACACTGCTTCTAATACAGTCAAGGATGCTGTTGGCCTTCTTTGCCGCATTACATGTAGATTGTATGATTTCGGGAAAGCCTTTGAGTAAGAGAAAAGTGAATGAAGTTAGCGTATGACATGCTTAGAGCACTTCAAAGTGATGCCTTAAATCTAGCAGAGACTTTTCTTGCAGCTCTTTTTTGTGTACTTTTTCCTTCCTTTAGCTCAAAAGAGAAACATTTGATGAGGTAGTATGTATACATTTACCATTATTTTTAAGCATAAAGAAAAGGCAGAAGAAAAATAAGCATTTCAATTAGTACAGAGAAGGAGTAAAAGATGTTAATTTTAATCCAGTGTATACATTCTCATAGTCTCTTTAGTTGTTACAATTCAGTAAAAATGTGCAATCTTATTTCTAGGTAAAAGCTTATGTGTAAGACTTGTGTATATGTTTTATGCAGACTCATATCTAAATACTGTCTCTACTGGCAAATGAATGCTTTTCTTTCTCAAAATATCTCTCAGTTTGATGCCGTTTTTATTGCTGTCCCTTCCCAGCTCAGAAAATGTTTGATATTTCACAATTAGAAAGAAATCCCATTAGAAATAGACTTGCCTTTATAGGTAAATAAATAAAAAAATTACCAATCGCTGCACATCGTATTTCATAGTTACAACACTGAAAGTTGCAGGGAAGTGTTTTAATATCCAAATTGAATCTTTATTTTTATTTTTTTTATATTCAGCTAGATTTCTGTATGTTGTGCAATGAGTTTGAAGCCCCTGGTTCACAAGTAATGTCTTCAGGCAGGGAATTAATGAAAATTAATTTTCAATTAAAAAATAGGTGTCTAATCGGATTGTTAAATGAGGTCATCTTCTATGCCTGCCTTATATGCTTTTAGAAGACTATGTAGGCCTACATGATGTACTT